GCAGAGGGGTTAAAGTTATATGAGTAAGGTAATGAGTACATTTCTCGTCGAGCATTGTTCCCTCTCCTTTGTTTTTCTCCTACTATCCCTTCCCTCCCCCACTTTCCTCATTCCCCGCCTTCAGAGTTGTAAAGTTCATTTCCAACGTTGTGTCTTGTGAGTCTCATGGTTGCGGTGGGTCATCATGTGTCCTTGTTTCAGCATTTTGTTATTCCCTTCCCCTCCCCCAATTAGATCAATGTTTATACAAGATGCAGGGCACCGAAATCAAATACAGTGACAACAGAAGAAGAAGAACATACAAAAAAACCATAAAAAATTACATAATACATTAACAACAACAACAACAACAAAGAAAAACCTCTTGTATCCATATCTTGGGGTTCATCTCCTTTAACATCATCTTATATGGTCATATGTACATAGCTTTTGAGCTTTTCTGCTTAGCTGATAATATTATCCTAGACATGTAGTAATTATAACAAATAAGAGAAACCATGGGACCTATATTCCTTTGGGTCTGACTTACTTCACTTAATATGATTTTTTCCAACACTTTACATTTGCATACAAATGGGGCGATCCCATTCTTTCTGATGGAAGCATAGAATTCCATTGTGTGTATATATATATATATATATATATATATATATATATATACATATAGATAGATAGATAGATAGATAGATAGATAGATAGATATACAGGGTTTTGATTTCTTAAGATAAGATTAAATGGCATTTTTTTCCAAAAATGAAATCATCCATTTTTAACATTGAATCATTTTATGTTATGAAAATGCATTAGATTTTTGATTTAGTGATGAAAGAGGAAAAAATGGTAAGTATAATCTTAATTTAGTCTCTGCCAGTCTAACTTCTTATAGGAATGAAGATATACTTTGGAGTTGGAAAGCTCAGTTGAAATTCTAACTACTGCTTGCTATTTGATGTTTATTCATAGTTTTAGAACCCTAGATTGGGGATGATAATTCACATTAAGGGAATATTATGGAAGTATTTTAGGATGACACTTTTTAAAGCACTTTATAGAAGTGATAATTACTATACTGATATAAGGCATCAGTATTGATTAACAAGAGGGAAGTAGAAGGAAAACAAAGTCACCCCAGGCTATTCATTCAATTCTTTAAAATATGTCTTTAAGTACTTATACAAATGAACTGCCATTCAACACGGCATTTTATGAACACAATGTGTTTTGGTCAATGTCATCCCTTTGAACATTCTCATGCCTCCCTCCCAACCTACCTTTCCCTTCACTTTTCTTAATTTTTTGAGGATATGCTTTGAATTTTTGACTGCATTTTTCCCTCTTTTATCTCTTCACTTGTCTGTTCCCCTCTTTTTGACCCCACTCACATCAGGTTGGGGTTTTGTTTTTGTTTTTGGTCACAGGCTTGAACTCAGGGCCTGGGCACCATACCTGAGCTGTTTCCCCTAAAGGCTAGCATTCTTCCACTTGGAGCCATAGCTCCACTTCTGTTTTTCTGGTGGTTATTTGGAGATGGATGTTCCTACCCATTCTGGCTTTGAACTGAGATCCTCAGTCCTCAGTCACCAGGATTACAGGATTACCTCACTGAGGTTGCCACTTCTCTCATAGGAGGGACAAAACCATATTGAAATACATTTGTCCAAATCACAGAAAACTTAACTTTCTGTTGTATGTGAGTGAAATGAAGAACAAGCATCTTTAAATTGTTTGAAAAATATGCACTTAGAAAACTTTATGCGAAACTTTACAGAGTTGTTATGTTACTCACTTTCCTGATGTTTTCTCATTTGGTTTCCATAGACAGCTTGTGAAGTTAATATACCTTCCTTTATGACATGATAAAGGATTAAAGCTTTGAAAAGTTGAATAACTTGGCTATGGTCATACTGGAAAAGAGCACAATTCTGATTTTGACTTGTTTTACAGAGTTCAAAACTCATTCTCTGCCTTGTGCCCTTTGCCCCCATGTCAAAGATAAACTAAGCATTTTTTATAATAAATTGAATTCCAACCTGAATTATATGAGACTTTTGAGACTTCACCAAACCTATCTTGATTTCAGTTTTATTCTAATTTTGAAAGACTTAAAAAGTCTTTGTAGAATGATAGTGACACATGAATAAATTGGTTTAAAAATCCAATGAACAAAGCAAATTGAAAACAAGCAACACAATGAGTTCAGGGTAATAGAGAGAAAATTAATTTCCTACTATGATATGCATACATACTTTAATATATAAATATGGGTTATATTATATATGCTTGCATTTATATGCTAATTTTTGGAATGAAAATCCTTATCGAGAGAGAACTAAAGGTTCATAACTAGTACATAGAGATATAAGGATTAATTGAAATTGGGTAAAAGATGACTGGAATGGGCAATGATATTTGAATATCAGACGCCACAAAAATAATTTCAAGTCATTGTCCATCCAGGTTAAAATGATGTATAGAGGGGATGCATTTAAAAATAAATACCTATATAATCAGATTCAAGTATCTAGCAAATATTTAACATCATGCTATGGTTTTTATGCATACTACTTTATATATTCTTCAAAACAAACCTGCACGTGACATTTTATAATTTCTTTTTTAAATTTCCCTTTTTATGTTTTTATTGTCAAGGTGATGTACAGAAGGGTTACAGTTACATAAATAAGGTAATAAGTATATTTCTTGTCAAACTTGTTACCCCTTACTTCATTTTTCTCTACTTTCTCTCTCCCCACTCTATCCCCAAGTTGTACAAATCATTTCCATCATATTGTCTTGTGAATATCACTGCTGCATTGTTCCCTCCTTGTCTTCTGTCCCACCATTCTGTTGTTCCCCTTCCTTCCTTAATTCAAATAAAACATATACTCAATACCAGGATACCAGAGTCAAATACAGTGACAACAGGGGATATACCATAAGGGAAAGATTATACAAATGAAACAAAAAATCGCATGGTACTTTAAAAACAATAACAACAAAGAGAAACCTCTTATGTCCATGTCTTGGAGTTCATTTTGCTTAATGTCATCTTATATGGTCATAAGTAAATAACTTTTTAGCTATTCTGCTCATCTGCTAAGATTATCCTAGACACATACTAATTATTGCAAATAAGGGAAATCATGAGACCTATGTTTTTTTTGGGTCTGGCTTATTTCACTTAATATGATTTTTTCCAAGTCTTTCCATTTCCTAACAAATGGGGTGGTGCCATTCTTTCTGATGGAAGCATAGAATTCCATTGTATGTGTGTGTGAGTGTGTGTATGTGTGTGTGTATCTATTGCATTTTCTTTTTTTTATACAATTTTATTGTAAAAATACTGTACACAGGGGTTACAGTTACACGAGCAAGGTCATGAGTACATTTCCTATCAAGCATTGTTACCTCCTTCTTTGTTTTTCCCCTACCCTCCCTTCCCTCCCTCCTCCATAACTACACTCCCACCTCCCCTGGCCTCCCCCCTCTCCATTTAAATTGTAAAGTTCATTTTTCAACATAGTGTTTTGCACATCTCATTATTTCAATGGGTCAACCTTTATTCCAATTTAAGCATTTTTCCCCCTTCACTCTATCACATTTTCTTGACCCATTCATTTACTGAGGCCCTCTGGGTTGGTTCCATATCTTAGCTATGGTGAATAATCCTGCAATAAACATAATTGTGCTGGTAGCTTTAGTATAATCTTGTTTGTGTTCGTCTGGGTAAATGCCCAGAAGTGAGGTCGCTGGGTCATAGGGGAGCTCTATGTGGAGTCTTTTGAGGAACCTCTGTACTGCTTTTCCAGAGTAGTTGAACAAGTATACACTCCCACCAACAATGCAGTAGGGTTCCCTTCTGGACACATCCCCTCGAGCATCTGTTGTTATTCCATTTCTTGATTATAGCCATTCTAACTGCAATGAGATGGAATCTTAATGTTGTTTTGATTTGCATTTCTTTTATGGCTAGAGAACTTGAGCATTTCTTCACGTGTCTATTGGCCATTCTTATTTCCTCTTCAGAGAAGTTTCTCTTTAAGTCTTTAGCCCACTTAGTAATGGGGCAGTGGTTTCTTTGAGGACTTGTTGTTGGGGGATTTAAGTTTTTCAATTCTAAGTATATTTTAGATATGAGGCCCTTGCCCGTTGTATGGCTGGTGGGCTTTTTTCCCAATTCGTGGGCTTTTTATTGATCTTGCTAGCTATGTCCTTTGCCATGCAGAAGCTCTGCAGCTTCAAGCAATCCCATTTGTCCAACCTTTCTTTGATTTGTTGTTTCTGAGTCTTTATTAAGAAAATTTTGGCCTGTGCCAAGTAGCCTCAGAGTTTCTCTTATTACTTCCTGTAATGTTTTCAGGGTGTCTGTTTTTACTTCGAGGTCTTTGATCCATTTGTAGTTGATTCTGGGGCGGGGTGATCTTATCGAAGATTAGGTGGCTGTAAGTCTGTGGGTTCATTTCTGGGTCTTCAGTTTTATTTCATTGGTCCTCAGGTCTGTGCTTGTGCCAGCACCAAACTGTTTTGATTACAGTGGCTTTATAATAGAGTTTGAAGTTTGGTATTGATCTTCCTCTAGCACTGTTCTTTCTGCTAAGGATTGTTTTTGCTCTTTGGGGTCTTGTTCTATATGAGTTTTTGGATTGCTTCTTCAATATCATTAAAGAATGAGGTTGGGATATTGATAGGTATTGCATTGAATTTATAGATAGCCTTTGGCAGTATTGCCATTTTCATGATGTTAATCCTCCTAATCCAGGAGCATAGGAGTTTTTTCCACTTCCTTACTTCTGCTTTAATTTCCTTTTTAAATTTTTTAAAGTTTTCATCATAGAGGTCCTTCACTTCCTTGGTTAAGTTAATTCTTAGGTATTTTATTTTTGGTGAGCTATTACAAGTGGAGTTGCTTTCCTGATTTTAGCCATGCTCTTCTCATTACTGACATATAGAAAAGCTATTGATTCTTGAGTGTTCATTTTATACCCTACAACTTTGCTGTTAAAAATATGGAATGATTTATGAATTTGCGGGTCATTCTTGCTCAGGAGTCATGCTAATCTTCTTTGTATTGTTCCAGTTTTAATACATGTGCTGTTGAAGTGAGCACACATTTTATAATTTCTATTACCAAAAAAGCAAACTGAGCCTCTGACTTTTCCCCAACTGCTGAGATCATTTCCTATCACCATAAAACAACCTCTAATTAGGGCCAATTCTTTTATTTACAAGGTGAGGGAATAAAACATCTTTGAGCTTCAGATTATCAAAGACTTTTGCATCTGGTCATCGTTTTTTAACTATGTCCTAATTCCTGCTCTTATTGTGGATAACATCATACTCAATATGGTGCATGTATTCTGGTATTTGTCTCAGTAAATAATTCATATAAGCTGAGTACTCAAACTCCATGGGTATTCCAATCCTTGACAGAAATGGCTTCTAAAATAAGTTTCATCCTACCACAATAGATGAATGGGTAAAAGTTAAGGTCCTGCACCTTCTACTTGATACTAAAAATACTACCAACCTCCTTCTGTTTAATACTTATTCCCTCCTGATTTGATCTTCCTATCCAAATTTTTACTGAACTCTGCAGTTCCTGTACAAATACTGATTTCTTCTTTAATGATCTTAAGCAGAGCATGTTGGCTTATGTAATCTGCCTGAAATTCCTGGAGGTTCTGTCACCAGTATTGTCTTTTTCCACAGTCACATACAAAACATCCATCTTATAGCATTTTTTAAAACTCCTGCGCATAACATATAAGGCTAATGATATTGGTTATGTTGTTTATATCTCAGTGGCATCATCTCCTGAAAATCTGGCCATTCTAATATATTCATCAAGGACTTAGTTCACTATTATTTTCATTTCTCCTCTAACTCTTATTGTTGTCCTGGATAATTTTCATACCCATGCAGGTAATTCATCTTATTCTAAAATCCTTCCTGACCTCATGGAGTTCAGTAACTCTTTATCTTCTGGGATTTTATGGTCCTTCCAACAGATATGCCTTCTACTCTTGAAATGTTAAGCTACAATTCTATTCTTTGCCCCTTTATAACTTTATTTCTTTATCTCTCTCAAATCAGCATTTGTATACCTTCTTTATTTCCCTTCAGCCACTCATTCTCTTTTTGAAATGATCAATTCCTTTCATTCTCCTTTTTTATCTATAGAATGTACCCTGAGTAGAATTATTTTTTATGCTAGTGCTAAGACTCAAACTCATGGCCTTGTGTTCTCACTTGGCTTATTTCATTCAAGGCTGGCTCTCTATCACTTTGAGCCACAGCTCCACTTCTGGCTTTTTGCTAGTAAATTGGAGATGAGAGTCTCATGGACTTTTCTGCCTGGGCTGACTTTCCATTGTGATGCTCAGATTTCAGCCTCCTGAGTAGCTAGGGTTACAGGCATGAGCCACCATCACCCAGTTTATCATAGGAACTTAAAACACAATACTTCAAAATTTCAACTCATTGATGACTCATTGGCAATGTGAGTTTTGTCACCAATGCTAGAAACTATGATGAAATCATTCTAGATTTGTTCATTTCCATAACCCACATATTGAAGAAGAATTCAAGAGATACCATTAATTCCTAATGTCCCTCTTATTGCTTGATCTAATTATGTCCTTCTTGACTTTATCAAGATTTTCATCTTTAGTCTGTTAAACATTATATTTAATGCATTTCTGTCAAAGCTTTGCCCCTCTTTCCAGTTCTTTTTTTAATTAATGATTACTTTGATATTCAGAGTTGTTGACTGTTCCCTTTTTATTTTTGAACATTCTCTTGGCTGTTAACACCTAGATTTCTTTCGGTTTTATTTTACTTTTATGGCCTTTCCTGTTCATCTTCTAGAGTTTTTCATCTTTCTGACCCTCCTGTCATATTTTAAATGTCTGTACTTGGTGCTTCATTTTTACTTCTTTTTCCCTTCTTACTCTGTCTACCCTCTCTGAGCAGAGCCATTCATTTATGTGATTTTATCAACCATCCAAATATGAGAGATCTTTACTACAATATATATCCCATCTATGCCTTTTTTCTGAGATCCTGTTTCACTTATCTAATTGCTTGCTTATTTTTTCTCCCTATGGATGTTGTGTAGACTCTGAAGCCTATCATCATGGAGAGAACTTGATGTCTTTTCCCTACACTTCTCCCTTCTTCTCAAGGTGGGTTATTGACATCCACCTTCAAGCCCTATGCCTTATATCCTATAGGTTATAGACAGATATCCTTATATCCTACAGATGTGTCCTAATCCTCTTCTACCTATTTTTACTGCTATTGTTACAGTTCTTGAAATAACTTTATTCCAGATCTTTCTACAGCTGATTCTGTTTGCCCTTAAACTATGGTTCATGACATTATTTGCAGTCTAGGATATAAAAAGCTATAATACTCCTTAACCCACTTAAAGCTACCAGCAGTTTCTCCCCATTTCTAAGATTCAACATCATTTCTAATGTCCTTTTGTACCTTTGTTTAAAACTGACTATTCTATGTTCTCTATACTCTAATATAATAATAGAGGCAGATGAGCTCATAATGTATTAAACTTATTGGAACAAAAACTTACTACAACTGTAGGTAGAAAAATAAGCATATATATATAAATATTTGATAAGGTAAATCAATACTGTTGCTGATCATCATATGTAAAAATCCATTGAAGTATGATGCAGCTCACTAAAATTACATTGAACATATATTTCTATTTTTACCCAAAATTCTTTAGTTTTTTTTTATTAGCGTTCATTAATTTTTAAATCTTTTTCATTCTGATCTGGGGGCAGCACTGTCCCTGAGCTTCTTTTGCTTAAGGCCAGTGTTCTACCATTTGAGCCTAAACTCCACTTTTGGCTTTTTAGTGGTTAATGGAGAGAAAAGTTTCATGGACTTTCTTGCTCAGGCTAGCTTTGAACTACATTCCTTAGATCCCAGCCTCCTGAATAGTTAGGGTTCAGACTTGAGCCACCAGCACTCAGATTTTCTTGTCCAAAATTGTATATAGTTTTGTATAACAGAGTTTCATCTGAATAAATATTATTCCAGTTTTGACGAATTTCGGCTTTGTGATCTATGAACAAATTCATTCAATGCTAGGTGGGCTCTTTGGCAAATGCCTAGCTTTGCCTTGATTATTTAACTGCTCCCAGTACTATGAGGAAGTTGGTAATACATATATGATGTGTGATAATCCTTTCCCCATATGAGGAATTATGACACCAGAAGGAGTTTTATGAAGATTGATATGAAGTTTGCTATGAAGTAATTTTCGCCTTTTTGTTTCTGTATCCTTCATTGTAGCCAGCTTGTGGTCATTTCAATGTAGCAAGTCTGGTGGGTCTGAATCTCACATGACTGGAGCTTGGGTTCCAAGAGTGTAGTTTACTGGTTTTTTTTTTTTCAGTCATGGAGCTTGAACTCAGGGCCTGAGTTCTTTTACTCAAGCCTAGCCCTCTAACTCTTTGAGCCACATCTCCACTTTTGGTTTTTGAGTAGCTAATTGGAGATAAGAATCTCATGAGGATTTTTCTGCCTGTGCTGGCTTTGAACTGAGATCCTCAGATTTCAGCCTCTGGAGTACCAGGGATTATAGGCGCAAGTCACCAGCACCTGGCAGTTTACTGGTCTTTTGACCTTGAGCAAGGCACCTCAATATCTTGAGTTTTCATTCCATTGGTTAGTCATTTCATTGGGAATTTTTAAAGTTTTTTTTATTGTAAAAATACTGTACAGAGGGGTTACAATCACACGAGCAAGGTAATGAGTACATTTCTTTTCTTTTTTTTTTTTTTTTTTTGTGCTGCTTTGCATTTTTTTTTTTTTTTTTTTAATTTAATTTAATTTTATTTGTGAACATACTGTACAGAGGAGTTACAGTTACATGGGCAGGATAATGTGTACATTTCTTACCAAGCATTGCAGCCTCCTCCTTTGTTTATCCTTCACATCCCTTCCCAGCCTCCCCCCTCCCCCCCTAATCCCAATCCTTCTCCTTCCACCCTCCCCCCAGCCCCCCCCCCCCCACCAACATTGTAAAGTTCGTTTTGGACATGACAACTTGTACTTCTCATTGTTGCAACAGGTCCACCTGTATCCTTAAACAACTGGTTTTTCCCCATCTCCTCCACAAGTTATACTGACATCAAATATAGTGAAAGCAAGGGTTATACTGTGGGGGAGGGACATACAAAGCAACAAAGAGATAATCTTATAAATGTGTTAGAAACACATGCATGAAAGAAAAAAACCTTAAAATACACATCTAAGGGTTCATTTTCCTGACATCACATTATCTGACCTTTTCCGCTTGACTCATACATATACTAGATATTACAAATAAGGGAAACCATGGGACCTACGTTTCTTTGGGCCTGGCTTACTTCACTTAATATAATTTTTTCCAAGTTTTTCCATTTCCTAACAAATGGGGCAATGTCATTCTTTCTGATGGAGGCATAGAATTCCATTGTGTATATATACCACATTTTCTTGATCCATTCATCTACTGAGGGGCATCTGGGTTGGTTCCATATATTAGCTATGGTAAATAATGCTGCAATAAACATAGTTGTGCTGGTAGCTTTAGTGTGGTCTTGTTTGTAAACATTAGGGTAAATGCCCAAAAGTGGGATTGCTGGGTCATAGGGGAGCTCTATGTGGAGTCTTTTGAGGAACCTCCATACTGCTTTCCAAAGTGGTTGAACAAGTTTACATTCCCACCAACAATGAAGTAAGGTTCCTTTCTGTCCACATCCCCTCCAGCATCTGTTGTTGTTAGAGTTCTTGATTTTTGCCGTTCTAACTGGAGTGAGATGATATCTCAATGTTGTTTTGATTTGCATTTCTTTTATGGCTAGGGATGTTGAACATTTCTTCATGTGTCTATTGGCCATCCTTCTTTCTTCTTCAGAGAAGTTTCTCTTTAAGTCTTTCGCCCACTTATTTATTGGGCAGTTGTTTCTTTGAGGATTTGTTGTTGGGGGGTTTAATTTTTTGAGTTCCAAGTATATTTTAGATATGAGACCCTTGTCCGTTGTATGGCTAGTAAAGATCTTCTCCCAATCCGTGGGCTTTCTATTGATCTTG